CTCAACCACTCAGCTACATCACTTTTTACGCTTTATAAACAGTGAATTTTTATTTTAATTACTAGTCAAAGATTTGGTATAATCATAGTTCTCTAACAGAATTATCCTCTTATTTGCTATTACTTTAAAAAAATTAAAAAGCATATTTCCAATGGGGGAGATGTATAATTGCTAGAAATATGATTGTGAATACTTTAAAAATAATTTTACATGCATATTAGAAAATTAAAGGATCATATGATTATCATAATTTAACAAAACATTATCAAAGTTGTAAGGTTAGTAAGAGGTTAATCATTTTCAACTAAAGATACTCAGACATATTTGGGAAATATGAGAAAATCAATTATTACTAAAGCAAATAATCATAATTTCCTCTCAACTGAAATATTTATGTGTCCTGTATATTTAACAAATAATATGTTCCTCTTTTAACAAATATATATATATATATATTTTTTTTTTTTTTTTTTTTTTGCAGTACTGGGGCTTGAACTTAGGGCCTCATGTTTGCTAGGCAAGCAGTCAACCACTTGAGCCACTCCATCAGTCCTTTTCTGTCAGCCTTTTTTGTGTTGAGTGTTTTCAAAATAGGGTTTCTCCAACTATTTGCCCTGGCTGGTTTCGAACATCAATCTTCCTGATCTATGCCTCCTTGAGTAGCTAGAAGCCACCAGCTCTCAGAAATAAAACATACTTTTAAATTACTAACTGAAGATTACTTTCACTATCCAACATGAGAATCTTAAAATATCAGGTTGTGCTGCTAATAAGGTCTTAACCTTCCTTTTATGTTTTAGCCACTTCTCTGCACTTTTATTTCCCAATTTATCACTATTTAAATTTTCATCCAAAGGAAGACAATATGCCTCATAAACTATGCAAACTGCTATTAATAAATTTTAATCCCAATTGTTTGTGAAGTATTCAAGGGCCTTTTACAAGTACATTGTTTCATGTATCTTTAACCAAAGCAGTAAATAAACTTTCTTGTCCTAAAAATTATTACAGCTACTATGAAAGCCTAACTGCTTGTCAAAGCATTGTTGATGATTCATGTTTAATCTAGACATACACCTTTTCTTCAGTCTTTCTAATACAGGAGCCTAAGAGCTGGGGATGTAGCTCAGTGGTAGAACATTTGTCTAACATTTGTCTAATACAGGAGCCTAAGAATACCATTAAAACATGGGGTCCTAATATAGTCAAATGGCCTATTGTGACCTTTTGTTAAAATTATACTTGTCAAAAGGTCTTATGATTCATCTTGGGGCCACACTTAAGTCTCTCCCTTTCTTTTTGCCAGATTCCCCAAAGGTCCAAGCTTCTCACTATCATTTTACCACCATCATACTGGCCTTCTATGGACAACACTCCTATATTCCTTCCACACCTCTCCTAGTGACAGCCAGTGCATGTGTTCCACTGCCTCTCAACACTCCCCTGTGTGTGGTATCGAGTTTATATGACAAGCTAATCCGTGCTTATGAATAAAAAACAATATAGTTTTGTTTTTCCTGAAAATTTGTTTTTGTAAAAGTATTCCCTAAGAGCCATGCCATGCCTGTAATCCTAGCTACTCAGGAGGCAGAAATCAGGAGGATAGTGGTTTGAAGCCAGGCAAATAGTTCCACGAGACCCTACCTCAAAAAAACCCTTGACAAAAAAAAAAAAAGAGGGGAGGCTGGTAGAGTGGCTCAAGGTGAAGGCCCTGAGTTCAAGCCCTAGAACTGCAAAATAAATAAATAAATAAATAAAATATTCCATAAGACAGTGGAGAGATACAAATATGGTCGGGCACTGGCAATTCTTAAGTTATCCCACATCTCAACCACCTAGCCTGCCTATTTATAACATAGGTCTAATTACAATTTAATAGCTTAAATTAAAAAATTAACACAGTCATACAATCACTAGCAAATTTATGTGTGATTTATGCCTCAGGGCACATGTCAAGAAAGTGGAAACTTAGGCTAGGGGAGTGGCTCATGTGGTAAAGCTCCTGCCTAGCAAGTGTCAGGCCCTGAATTCAAACCCCAGTACTACCAAAAGAAAAGAAGAGGAGGAATAGGGAGGGAAGAGGAGGAAAGGGGTAAGACAGAGACAGAGACAGAGAGAGAAAACTAAAGTTGTAATTGGGCTGGCACCAGTGGCTCACACTTATAATCCTAGCTACTATGGAGGCAGTATGAAGCCTGCACCAAGCAAATAGTTCCTGAAGCCCTATCTTAAAAATACCCAACATAAAACAGGGCTGGCAGAGTGGTTCAAGTGGTAAAGCACCTGCCTAACAAATGTGAATGAAAAACCCTGTCTCAAAAACAAATAAATAAATATACTCATCCTCGGAGCAAATGACCTCCTATGACTTTTTTGATCTCCTCAGAAAAATTACCTAAGAACACACCATACCTGAGATCCTCTCTGTACACCTGACATTTGTGACTTTGTACTTTATGTTTTCATAACAACTTGACAATTTACAAATATTATAAATATTGCTTTTTCCACATTCTGGCAAACCACTTTATTCTTCAGCTCATTAATCCAAAAAATAGCATCCTATGACTAAGACAACTCAATACCATTTACTCATTCAGCAGTTCTACAGTTACAAGTCCAGAGTCTAGTTAGTACATTCCTTTCCAAACAACAGTTCCAATTTTCTTTAACCAGAATTAGATGGACTCTGTTGTAGCTAACTTGAAGATTTGGTAAAGAAGTCATTTAACAAAATTCACAAACTTGGAATCAGCTAAATTAACTTGAAAATATAAAACTTCCCCAAATCTTAATTTCTCTCTTTTTTTTTTTTTTGGGGGGGGGAGATGTTAACTGAAGTTGAGGGCAGGCACTCTATCCCTTGATTCACTCTGCCAGCTCTTTTTTGTGTTGGGAATTTTCGAGACAGGGTCTCAGGAACTGTTTGTCCCGGGCTGGCTTCGAACTTCGATCCTCCTGATCTCTGCCTCCTGAGTAGCTAGAATTACAGGCATGAGTCACCAGCGCCCAGCTAAGTCTTAACATTACTAGCTCAAAATGAAAAGCCCAAGAGACACTATAAAGGTATAAAACATACCTATTCTATTTGGTATTCCTGGGCAATCCCGTTATCTCTATGTAGCTACAAGTCCACAAAGGTTAAGAACCCCACCACTTGACAGCTTTTACATCCTTTCAATCCATGCTGAAAAGAGAATCTAAACAAATGGGAGTGTAGGTACTGAACAAATGTAGTACTAATAATCTGGAAGAATTCTGAAGACATAGTTTACAATACTTATTCCACTACCTATAAACCAAGTTTTACCAAAAATTACCTCCCAAAACATCATTAAAATACAAGCAAAATCTACCAGTAACTTAATGTAGATCCCATTTGGTTTTTTTGGCAGTACCTGGGTTTGAACCCAAGGCCTCATGCTTGCTAGCCAGTTAAGCCACAACCTCAGTCCTTACATCCCTTTAAGTTACATATATGGCCCCCTTTTTAATAAATTGTCTTAAGTATCCAACCAGCCTGCACCTCCACTACCACTGGTCCTAGAAGTTATTTCAACTTAATCCTAAAAGACTACTTCACATAAGAGCTACATTTTGCCTTGACTTTCTTTATGACCTTGGGTAAAGTCTACCAAATGAAGACTATAATGATGTGTGTTCCTGCTTAATTACTGAAATTTAGTCCTAATATCATGCTAACAATAGTGAAGTTCTCTAAACTAGACCTACAGAGCTGAAAGCTTTTGAGTTATAAATATCAACTGACATGTAATATGAACCATTTTTTCATCTTAATTTCATTACTGGGGGGGCTATAAATACCCCAAATTCAACACGATCAAAAACAAATTCTGAAAATTAAGGGCCTCTTTCCGTGGGGTTGGGGGAGATGGGAGGAGGAGGAAAGGATGGGTACAACTTGCTTTTACTTGCCATTTCCCTGCTTTTATACGGATAACAGCGGAACCACAAACAAAAATGTAACACTTAGCAAAGTATGGTGAGTCGGAATATTATCTGAAAAGTATGCAGATAAATCTATCGTTTCAAATCACTAATTTGAATGCCCACGTAGAGCAGTAATCTTGGTACTGTCCTACTAGCATTAGAAAGATAAATCCCTGCCTTGGAGGTACATCTACTAAGTACACTTCATTTCAGGATCTTAGGCAAGTTTACAAGCAGTATCTCTGTAGGCTTCCCCGAGGTACTCTCAAAGTGCTTAACATCATTCACACATCCCTCTACCACTAAGGCGAAAAATAAACAAACACGACTTACTTATGCAATTATTAGTCACATAATTCTGGTCAAGAATGCAAAAATAAACACTCACACAGACATACCCACGAAAAGCAGAGACTTATTAACGACAGTAAGATTCACCCTTCACCGACCACTACAGGAACCAGAACCCTCCTCCCACATGGGCCGCTCTTCATTACCACTGTTAATTTGAAAAAAGTAACAATGTCAACTTAACATTTTAACAGTACGGAAGATCAACAGAAGTTAGTGAAATCACCTTTCCCAGATTCTCAAAAAATGTTTATAAGAATAAAGATAGAGCAACGCCCCCCCTCCCACTAAAATCACCCCCTCGGAAAGAATGAAACCTCGAAAACATCAGACATGCAGAGGTTAGAAAAAGGCAAATCTTCTAAGTCTATTAACCAGAGGGACCACGGGGCTGGGGACTGGGAACGTGAGATCGGGGTGGGGGTGGGTAGCAAAGTGAAATCTAACCCCAAATCACAACACAGGCCGCAGCCTACAAGCTGAAGCTGGCGGGAAGTGAGCTCCCCTTCCGTTCCCAAGGGAAAGTCCAGCGAGAGCGGCCGGCACAGCGGACGCGCCAGGAGCCCAGACTGCATGCCTACCAACGCGCTGGAACCGCTGAAGGACCGGGCTGAGAAGGGGAGGAGATCCGGCAGACGGCCCTGGAAGAGAAGGACTGAGACTGGGAGCAGCGGCAACGTCTAGACGAAGGAGATTACCTTAACTATGACGACAGAGAAGTGTCCTCAGGTTCCGGCGATAGTCCCGACCGCGCAATGTGTGGTGTCTTTCCCGCTTAGCCCGCAACAGCAACAGAACCAGCTCCTTCAGCCAGTCGCCATTTCCCGCCTACCGACCTGCTGCACCGCACGGACAGGGACCCGGATGGAAAGCGGCCTTTCCGCGCAGGCGCACTGGCTTCTTCCTCCCCCTCCCGCCACAATTCCGCGAGGTGGGAGGGAAGGAATGCGGGTGGACACAGCGGGGGCGGAGCGGGGGGGAGGGAAGAAAAACAACTTTGACTTCCGTGAAGGGCCCCGAAGAAACTCTCGAGTCCAAAATCCTGGCAAAAAATGAACACAGGGCGTCAGAACCGAATGGAGTAAGAAAGGACAAAAACTATCAGGGTATGTCAGGGCCTGGGGGACATTTGTACTTTAGGAGCCTCCGTAGCCGGCTGTGTAGTGGTCGCAGGGGGAGTAGGGAGGAAAGCGTTAGGAGTGGAGAGGCGGGGACGCGAAGGACGGTTTTTCCTCCCGCTGCTAACGGAACTGCTTAGGGCCGAGCTGGGAGGGGGAGCGCGCCCTCGCCCCGCAGGCGGGGCTTAAGAGCGCGCTGAGCATCCCGGCGGCTAGGGTTTAAGAACTGTGCGCGCGGTGGGTGGGCGGGGCCGAGGGGGCGGGGCGGGGCTAAGGGTTTGGCGCGCTGGAGGAGGTAGTTAGTGTTGAGAGCTTGCGGACCATGGGATAAGGTGGATCTTTTCTCTTTTCGGGAGAGTGGTGGCCTCGGAAAGTTCTCTTTCCACCTCACTGCCTAAAGGATATGGCAGTCGCTCGTCATACAGATTCATGACCTTCGATTTCACGCGATTCGGTGATGATTGTGCAGGCTGAGAACTCTTTCAGACAACCGGCTCCCACCTACAAACCTGGGTCAAAGAATTGTCAGCTCCCACAAGGGGAGAATGTATCCATCTGGAGCATCCCAGTCATGGTGCAATGTCAAAAAGCCAAGTCTGGTGGTTGGGAGTGTAGTGTTGTTGAACTAAAACTCCACAACACTCTTACTATACGATGGAGAAGTATTTATTTTGGAGGGGGGAACAAGTAGGTAACAGGGATACAATAGTGGAAAAGGCAAAAGCAGACTGTTTTCCCAGAGCTAACAGTCTGTTGGAGAATACAAACAGAATCTGAATGTACTGTGATAAAGTGACTTGTCAGATTGGGATGGAATGTGTAGAGGGAACACGTGAGGCTGTCAGGGAGGGGGTCTGGGAAGGTTTTCATAAAACATCTGAGAGGCATAAAAGAGTTGATGTTGCCATACGGTGCGCCGGTGGGTCTCCTGTAGTGCTAGCTACGAAGGAGGTAGAGATCAGGAGGATCGCAACTGGAAACCAGCCCCCAGCAAATAGTTTATGAGATCTTGTCTCGAAAATACCCAACATAATAAAGGGCTGGCGGAGTGGCTCAAGTGGTAGAGCGCCTGCCTAGGGCGCATGAGGCCCTAAGTTCAAACGCCAGTACCGCCCCCTCTCCTCACCCCAAAAAAGGAATTGGTATTGTAAGAGTGTCTACATAAAGGAAACAGATGGAAAAGTCCAAAGAAGAGATTGTCTTGAGCCACAAGGGGGTGGGGCGGACATAGTAGCTTCTGACGACCTTGAGAGGTAAGCATAGAAGTGTAGATAACATGCCCTTGGGAATATGACTGGTCTTAATTCAAAATGGAGCAGGCGGGTTGTCTTCTGAAAACCTCATACACTACAGATCCTGTCAGAGGTCACAGCTCATAGTTCATTTGTTCCCTAACTCTTGCCAGTACAAAAATGTTTTGAAGACAAGCTGGTGGCCCAGGCCTGAAATTCCAGGACTTGGGAGGCTGGGCCCAGAGCATTGAGAGTTTGAGGCCAGCCTGGGCTACGAGCAAGTTACATAATCTCAAATAGAAGAAGAAGGAGGGGGAGGGGGAAGGAAAAATAGAAATAGTAAGAGTCCACCATACTTAACCCACCATTCAAAACCCTTGTTCCTTCCTATTATTGCTTATACTCTCTCTACAACAAAATTAGAAATAAGGGCAAAATAGTTTCTGCTGGGTATTGAGGGGGTGGGGGGGAGAGGGAGGGGGCAGAGTGGGTGGTAAGGGCGGGGGTGGGGGCGGGGGCAGGAGGGATAAATGACCCAAGCCTTGTATGCACATATGAATAATAAAATAATAAAAAAATAATAAAAAATAAAAAAAGTCCACCATAGCAATAGGTTCCTGAAAGGCTAATTGAAACTCAACAGATAATTAATGGTTATCCAGGAGCTGGAGGTGTGGCTCAAGTGGTAGAAAATTTGCATAGCAAGCAGAAGGCCCTGAGTGCAAAACAAAAAAAAAATTAATGGTTATCCAATGTGTATCAATAGGATGTAAACTAAAGTTACTCCCATGGTTACTAAAGTTGTTTTTCAATTAAATAAAAATTAGAAATGTTTCTGAAAAAAGTTCAAAGTAGTTATTTCAAATCTTCATGCTCCTAAAACTTAAGTCAAATATGTTGTTTTACAAACCACTCTATATGCATTTTATTCTCTTCCAACAACCTGTAAGGTAGTTGGAATAGGTGATATTTGACTCTGACCCTTTCAGTTGAAAACACTTAAATTTTAAAAAGGAAGAAAAAAACATGCCTTATCCAAAGACAATCACCATAGTAAGAAAAACAGTTGGGGGTGCTGGAAGCTTGGCTCAAGGGGTAGAGCACCTGCCTTACAAGGGTAAACCCCTGAGTTCAAACCCTATTACTTCAAAAGAAGAAAGGAAGGAACGGAGGGAAGAAAGGAGGAAGGAAAGAAAAATACAGTTGGGGCTCAAACCTCATTCAGGTTGAGGCCCTGAGTTAAAACCTATTACTACAAAAAAAGAAAGAAGGGAAAGAGGAGGAAGAGAGGGATGGAAGGAGGGAGGGAGAAAAAGAAAAAAGAAATACAGTTGGGGCCCCATTCTGCCATCACACCACTTCCTCTAGCAATTTTACCATTGTTAAGTTTGTTAAGTTTAGATGGGTTGCTGGTGATAAGCCTAAATGATTTCGCAATTTGTTTACTTAATGTTTTAACACCATTTTCCCCCAAAGACTAACTGTTATTTCCGTTTTTCACTTTAGTTACCCTTTTTTCCCTGCAATATGGAAGTGAGTTGTGACATGCAAGTGATATTATTTATGAAAGCACTTAACAAGGTGCTTTCCTTGCTCCTTAAATGGTAGTTGTTAATGTCAGTAAGCTTCAGTGACAACCCTATCTAAGATTTTAGACTAGAAATTTAAAAATAGAAAACCTTCGTTGGGCACAGTGCGACACATCTGTAATGCCAGCTACTTGGGAAGACTGAGGGAGGAGGCTGGAGAGCTGAAGGCCAGACCCCTTCTCAAAAATAAATAAACATATAGTTTTTTAAAGTACAAAGTAGGTTAGGAATGTAGCCTCGTGGTAGAGTGCTCGCCTACCATGTACCCTGGATTGGATCCCCAGCACTGCCAAAAAAAGTATGAAGTATATTTAGGGGCAAAGCAGTGGCCTCAAGGAAAAAGGTAGTGACAGACCTGGTAGCATGCAGCTTTATAAGCTATTTAAAACTATTGCTATGTGAAAACAATGAAATAGAGTATTCACAAAAGTAATAGAAGGATTTCAGATCATTAGCAGTCTTTTCAGTAGGTCCTTTATTCTAAGGTGTGCATCCCTAGTCCAAAATGAATTACTCCAAATTCCAAAACTTGTTCAGGACCACATGCAAATTATACACCTAACTTCATGTGATAGGTCACAGTCAAAACATAGGTGCAGTAAACTTCAGGTTTATATGAACCATAAAAGGATTTTATATTTACACTTGGGTCCCACCTCCAAGACATCTCACTGACAAATATTCCCAAAAAACAATCTGAAATTCAAACCACTTTAGGTCCCAAGCATTTCGGATAGGAGATACTCAGCTAGTGTAAGGAATATTGTTTGCCTTTCACTTGAAACATAAGGGATATATTCTTCACAATTCATAATTTAACTAGTTCTACCTCTATGATGTATATTTTTCTTGCTTATTGCAGTTCATTAAGGCAGTAATATTTATATTGAATGTTGAGACATAGAACTGTCATTTTTTGCCCCGGTATAGTAACTACTTGATGACAATGACCATTTGAAACTTGATTAGTCAAAACTAAACCATAATAAATGCAGTTTTTCTTTCTCATATCCCATGTCCAATCTAGCTGACCTTTCATATCAACATGTTCCACATCCAATGGATTCAACCAACTATTCAAAAAAGATTATGTCTGCACTGAACTTGTAGCAGTTTCTTTTTTTGTAACTGTTCTCTCTCTCTCTGCAGTTCTGGGGTTTGAACTCAGGGCCTTGTGCTTGCAAGGCAGGCACTCTACTGCTTGAGCCACTCCCCAGCCCTAAAAGTGAATTTATTCATTTTGTGGTACAGGGGATTGAACCTTGGGTCTGTCTCATTGTAGGCAAGTGCTTTATCACTTAATCACATCCCAGCCCTGTTGTTGTTCTCTTACACAGTACAATATAACAATATAATGCTATTTATATAGCATTTACAGTGTATCAAGTATTATAAGTATGGGGTGAAGGCATTGGTAGAATGGCTGAAGCTGTAAGAGTGGCTGCCTAGCAAGTGTAAGGCCCTGAGTTCAAACCCCAGTGCCAACAAAAAAATAAAGTAATAAAGTATGGGGGGAAGTGAGAGAGGTTAAGAAAGAGTAATAAAGGGATGAATTTGATCAAAGTAAATTACATGTGCATACAGAAATATCACAATGAAACCCCTTTGTACAATTAATTTGCTCTAATTATCTTACCAATAAAAATAATAAAGTATTCAGGAGAGCCAGGTATAGTGGTACATACCTATAGTCCAGTCCCAGATACTCAGGAGGCTGAGGTAGGAGGTTCACCTAAGCTCACAAGTTCAAGACCAGTTTGCTAAATATAGTAAGATTCCCATCTCAAAAAAAATTTTAGAGGCTGAGTGATAGAGCACTTGCCCAGTATGTATAAGACACTGGGTTTGATCCCTAGCACCACAAAAACCATTTTTTTAATTTTTAAAAAATTAAAAAATCAAGTGTAGGAGGAAGC